ACCCTTCCCGCTCTCCAGCCGGGGCCTGGCCACCTGGACCCCAAACAGACGCCCAGAGGCCGTTGATCGGCTCTCCGGCTGCTGAGCAGCGCCACGTTCCCACCGCCAGCACGACGGGCAGGGCCGCCACCCGACCCTTTCACTTATTTATTTATTTTTAAGACCTCAAATCCACCTTCCAGGGATAGAGAATGTTTTTATCTGTATTTTTTAAAATATCTTTTTATTGATGTCAGAGAGAAAGGGAGAGGGAGGGAAGAGAGAAACATCCATGATGAGAGAGAACCATGGATCGGCTGCCTCCTGCACGCCCCCCACGGGGGATCAGACCACAACCCGGGCCTGTGCCAACGGGGAATTGAACCCTGACCTCCTGGTTCCTAGGCCGAGGCTCAATCACTGAGCCCTGCCGGCCGGGCCCGCCCTGACCCCTTCCCAGGCACCCTCCCCGCAGGCTGAGCCGCCGTGAGCACTGTTTTCCGAGCAGCATCGATTGGGCGAGGGTCCCTGGGGGTCTGTGCCCTCGGAATCCGTGGACAGGCCTCTGTGGGGGGAAGCTCCCTGCCCCGCCCCCGCCCAGCTGTCTGCCCACAGACGGGGAGAGGCTGGTGGCGCCCAGGACAGGACCCGGGGAGCAGAGGCCGGCGCGGCTCACGTACTTTGGGAGACCCAGAGCACGCAGACCGAGCCTGACTTTCCCGGAACATTCTAGAACTTGCCATGGTGCCATGCCCCAAGGTGAATCACAGGGCACAGGCAGCGGCTCCGCGTGAAAGCGTCAGATTTGAAAGTCACATTTTCCTCCTCCCGCTGCCCAGCGCTTTTCCGACAGACTCGGAGAGAAAGCAGAAGACCGCACGGTTTCCAGTCAAAACAAGAACTGGCCCGCCGGCCTCATTAGCAAACAACCCCTCGCGCTGTCCAGAGGGGAGCCCGGCGGTCTCGCCCTGCTGCCCGCAGCCATCGGGTCCAGCGCAGGCGGGCCCGCCTCTGTCGCAGTCCCCAGGCGTCTGTGCGGGACGCGGTTAATATCCAGCATTCTCGGGGTGGGGGGGATAGCATCCCACACCAGGAGAAAAGCAGAGGTAAGAAAGGGGGGAACATGGCCCCCAGACTCAGCTCAGCTGTCACTTCCTGGGGGAGGTCCCCCCACTGCCTCCTCCCCACATGGAACACCTGCATCTGGACTCCATTCAGTGCCTGCCTCCCTGACCAGACCACGTGCTCCTTGAGGGCGGCCACAGAATTGCCCTGTGCTGTCCTGGAATACAGCCGGCGCTCAATAAGTGTCTGCAGTTATACGGGCGGAGCTCAACAAGTGCACATAGGTATACAGGCGGTGCTCAACAAGTGCATGCAGGTATACAGCTGGCGCTCAATAAGTGTCTGCACGTTTACAGGCGGCGCTCAACAAGTGTTTGCAGAATGAAAAGATATAAACTGCCCCCCAGCTGGTCCACTCACCTATTCTTGTCGCCCCCCTCCGGCTCGTCCACCTCGTCGGCGCTGCAGGTGGCGCTGGAGTCACTGTCCTGGGGGGCGCCTGAGCCCTTGGTGGAAGGGGCTTTGCCCCCAGAGCCTCCACCACCCTCCTTCTTCTCCACCTTGACCACCCCCTCGGGCGCAGGCTCGGCGCCGGCCTCCGCGCTCCCCTGGGCTTTGTCGGGCGCCTCCTCCAAGGCCTCCTCCTTGCACTCAGTCTTGATGGGCTGGGCAGGCGGCCCCTCGTCTGGTGGCTCCTTCTTGCCCACAGCCACGGCCACGGCCAGTTCCTGGGCCACGGCAGGTTTCTGCTCCTCCCCATCCTCTGCCG